TGCTGCTGCTGCTGAGGTGCACCTCGATACATCAGGTGGCCACAGGTAGTGCTCTTCACTTTAGTTGGTGCATTGTTGGGAGAAGAAGAAGGAGGAAAAATTCATTTGACTGAGTTCAATTGACTGGGCAAAAAAATTGACAAACCAAAAACAGTACAAACACACTTTGAAATAAGGTGTCCTGTTAGCAGTGTTATTCAGTCAGTTAGTCGGTCTGTCAACGGCAGTCATGCAGTAAATATGCCTAATGAGACTGGAGGCAGGCATAGCTGAACCTCCGCCGCCGCCGCTGCTGATGAACCGATTGCGTGATTGCGTCTGTATGCGAGCGAACAAAGCGAAAAAATTTGAACAAGTCATCCCAAATGACGACGACTGGTGTTCACACAGCTGTTGCCTCTTCCTCCTCCTTCTCCATGCTCACCTAAATTACAGCTGTGTATTGAGCTGTAGAGCTGCAACGCCGAACGCCGAATGGCTGAAATGGGTGACGAAACAGAGGTACAACAACAGTGTGCGGTGCGACCTTCACTCTGACAACCAATGTTCATTTTGTGGCTGTTGTGTCGTCGGCATGGCACACATTTGGTGGTGGTGAGGAGAGAAAGAGAAGAAGAGGTAAAGGGGAACAAGGACCACCAGGTGGTAAATGAACCAATCAGCAATGAACAAGGACCACCGCCGAACACACACACACATGATGGCCGAACTAATTAGAAAACTATCAACTTTCAGCATTTATTGAGCGCCAATCACTCACTGGCACTGAGTGCCTGCTTCACAATGGCTCGAATGCGCTCTCTGGCTGCCCTCGCTTCCGCCGCCACCAGCCAGTCGGTGGTCTGCAGCAGCTCCACCGCCTCCATCAGCTGACTGCCATCGCCCCCATCACCCTCCAGATCGTCGACCGCCATCAGCGCCGTGTACATCTCCGTGGCCGTGTAGGAGCGCACTCGAGGCAGCTGGTGGCCGAGGAGAACGTACAGGAAGCGCATGGCATTGCCCAGATTGGCACTGCCCAGCGGCACCAGCGTGCAGAAGACGTCCGCCACCAGGAGGTACTTCTTGGGATTGGCGCTGCCTTTCACCACCGACCAGCAAACAGTGGCCACCTTCTCCTGCCACTCGCCGCTAGTCGGCACTGAGGTGAGCAGAGCATTGGCCGACACCAGAAGGGGCAGCGCCAGGCGGCCATCCTTGGCCTTGTCAGTGGCCACCTTCAGAAACGTCTCCAGGACCTGCTCTCGCTGTGGGCTGGCTCGCAGAAAGGCCACAAAGACCTTGGTGAAGGGCTCCAGCAGGGGGTCGGCAATGACGCAGATCAGCCCCGGCCACAGCCAGGGCGTCAGTTGGTGGCAGTCAAAGAGCTTCACGAGGACGGCATACTGCTCCAGTTCTTCGCTGATCACGCCTTGATCCGTCTCCAGCTGCACCATCAGCTTCACCGTTTCTTCAGGAAGCAACCCTGTGGCACTTTTTTGCTTCCCTTCACCTATCCACTTGCCCAGTGCGGCCAGCTTCTTCACCGCCAATGGGTAGCTGCCATTGCGCTTGAAGACCGCCTCTCCGGCCACCAGTCGAACAATCTGCAGCAGCTGTTCGGGCGCCATTGAATTGAGGAATGGGCAGTCGGGCGTCTTCAGCGCCTCCATCGCCGCCACTCTCACCAGCAGTCCGACATTGCCCTGCTTGGTGATGGTGTGGTCTTCCAGGGCTCGGATCAGCCAGTCGGCCACCTCCTGTCGCAGAGGCTCTTCAACTTCGCCCATAAAGCGGCCCACCAGTCGCACCACTGCGCCCACCACGTCGGCGACTGTCTCCGAGCGGCGAAGTTCACTGCCAAAAGTGGCACGTAGAAAAGCGAGCGCCTCGCGAACAAAGTCGTTTGCCAGCGGGCGCAGCACTTCATCGGCCATCAGCACCGTCGATCTGGCCACCGTGCTGACGGCAAAAGCGGCCTCATGTCGGCTGAACACGCCGAGCAGTGCCTTCAGAAAGGGCTCATGATGAGCATTCGCCGATTCCTTGAGGAGGGCACTGGAGAAGGCGACCACAGCACTGACGGTCACCTCCTGAACGACGTCGCTTTCGGTGTTGACGCCACTGAGAACCACTTCCTGCCAGGAGCTTCTCAGCCCTTCTTCTTTGGGCACCGTCCACCCTCTGGCGCAGTACTGCTCCACCATGGCCAGTGAGCCCTCCTTCATAAACTCGCCTCCCATGCCCACGTAAAGGTTTCGGCACTTGAGCTCTTCGAAAAGGCCCTTCACAGTCCGCCACAGCTTTGCCTGCAGTTCACTGCTGCCAGCTGCTTCCACATTGAGACTGCGGTCATTGCCGATAATCTGCGCCAGAGAGAGAATTGCCCCATGTCGTCCGTTGAGATCAGCAGAAAGGGCTCGCTCCAGCAGAATCTTCAACGCCTGATCTCGCCTCGCAAAGGGCACCACTGCGGAGATGCGGCCCAGCGTCTGCGCCGCCAGTCGCCTAATGGCCGGGTCCCAGTGCGTGCTCTTGTCGGTGAGCAGGTGCTGAATGATCGCCTCCCGAAAGACCTCATAGGTGGCGGCAAAGTGGACGCCCATCTGGAGGAAGGTGTGCTCCAGCAGGCTGAGCTCGGCAAACTCCGTCCGGCCGATGACGTCCAGCCAGTGGGGAAAGCGCTGCGTCCTGCCGGCCAGCTCCTGAATGACGGCAGAGGCGGCCCGCCGGCAGTTGAGCGCTCGGTCGAAGCAGACGACGTTAATGAGCGCCGGCGCCAGGCGGTCAACAAAAGGGCCAATCTGGCGACCGTCATAGGCACGGGCCATGGACCAGCAGATGTAGGCGGCAGCGTCGCGCACGTGCGACCCCAGTGAGAATGATCCTAAAGTAAAGTAGGAAAACAGTGTAACAGTGTAATCATCAGTGTGTAAATAAAAAGAAGTGCTCCAGTTTTACCTTTGAGATGTTCGTAGAAGAGCGCTTTCTCCACGACCTCCACCACCCGCACCATAAAGTCCACGCGGACGTAGCCTCTGCGGACAAACTCGGCCAGCGCGAGACAGGCGCCGTGCCAGGCCAGGTCGTCCATCGTCGGACTGGCCAGGTGCTCCACCACGTGTCCCAGAATATCGGCGCTAAACTGGTACGGCAGTCGAGAGCAGATTGAGGCGAGGTACTTCGCCACTGACAGGCGAACCACCGATGCCGGGTGATTGAGTGAGCTCAGCAGCAGTTGGATCAGAGCCTCAAAGTACGGCGGCAGCTCATCAAAATCAAAGTCCTCCTCTTCATCCTTGTCGTCCAGGTCAGGCAGGAGGTCGTCTTCGGCGCTGGAGGACTTGATCTCCTTCAGCAGTGGCGGTGGCTTACCGTTTGTACTGTCCGCAGCAGGGGGCGACTTAGCAGTTCCGTCGATGATTCTCTTTCCGCAGTTGTACCGCCACTTGAGCAGTCGTGGACGGATTCGCGTCAGTGCACTGCGACCTAGTATTTTGATAGATAGTTTGGCGAGAAGCTCATGCGGCGAGTCGACCAGCGTCATCACCGGCTCGACAATCTGGTCGACGTGAACGCTCATCGTCGAGCGGTCGATGGTCTTGAGCAGGGTGGCCAGTGAGCGAAGGCAGCACACCTTATCGTTCACAGAGCTGCGGTCACTTTTCAGTTGAATCAGCAGCGAGCCAATGAAGCGCTCAAGGCGAGAACTGGAGCGGACAATGTCCGGGCGGGAGTAGAAGGACCCGGCCAGCAGGTGGACGACCGGCAGGAGGGCGTAGTTTTGAGCCGTCCCCCTGATGATGTCGTCGATGCGATGCGCCAGTGAGTGCTCATCTTTGGCGGTGTTCACGTCGAATCGAGAGAGGTCAAAGGGCGTCCGCACGGCTGAAGAGAGCCAGAGGATCAGCACGTACAGCGTGGACCAGTTTGACTGTGCGGCCAGGGAGTGCTCCAGCCAGCGGACCAACTTCACCAGCCAGCTGACCTCGGTGGGCCAGTAGCGAGTCATTCGTTTTGGTGAAATGCACAGCGTTAGATTGCGCAGAAAATCGAGCACCATCTCAAAGAGGACATCATTCGGGGGCACATCTTCAGAGGTAGCTTCCAGTGTGGCCAGTGCAGTGGACACGAGCTCGGGCACGAATGTCAACACAAAGCGCCACTCCTCTTTCCACTTGATGAAGACCTTGAAGACATTCTCCTGAAGAGCCTCCTGCTGACTTCTAATTGCGTCCAGTGTTGATCCGGACGTTTTCAAGTCTCGAAGCCGGCAAATGTGCTCCTGTGCTGTTTTCATGTCGGCCACCAGCTCCTGTTTATCTTTGGGTGAAAGAGCAATATAAGCCATCGATTTGATTACCTTTTACCTTGACATACCTTTACAAATATCTAAACTGTATTGCACCATGGTTGCCAGTGATTAAATTTTGTCGAAGAATAAGTAGAAAAGACCTAAACTAGGAAAGCTAAAATTCGGCTTTTGACAATGACAATTTTAGCAAAACAAAAAAGTCACGTGACTTGAAGTTCATCCATTCACACAGCGACAGTTACTCATTTACAGTGTAAAGAGTTTACTCAACTTCAATTTGCTTTATCAATCGATTTCTAAAGCCCATTCTTTTTGGAAAACGAAAGTTTTTTATTGATTTTTTACTTAGCCAACATTATTTTTTAATGAAATTTTTGACAATTTCAATGAGCTTAACCTTTGATCTTCTTATTTTTGCCCAGTAAAATCAGCCTCTCCTCAAAATCAGTCGACTGACCTCATCAGTTGTCAACTAAATCGGCAACAAATGACCAGCTATGGTCAGCTATCGTGTTCAGTCAACTGGCAGTTGTATTGTACGGCACACTGACAATTGTACTGCCACTTATCGGCCACTTATCGGCCATCATCAACAATGGAGACAGTTCAGCGCAGGGCTTTCCTTTTTCAAGGTTCCCTGAACACAGCTAAAGTGCAAGTGCAACTGGTCTTCTTCTATCATCTGTAAACGAGTTCTCCCCAGCTAAAAAATCATCGGCAACAGTAACACACTGAAGAGGGAGAGAGGGAGAGTAGACAATGTAAAGAAAGGAAAAGAAAGAAAGGGAGAACAGAAAATAAAGAGACACTGTCAGTGTCAGTGTCTCTTTTTGGGGAAAAATTGACAGCTTTTTGCACCAGCAGGCGCACTCTTTGGCGACGATCATTTTCCTCGAATCATCGACCACCATCGTCCCGCATCAGCTGCTTCCACTACTGATACTGCTGCTGCTACTAATGTCTTGAACTGTGCCGCCCTAGGTGAGACTTCAGTAGAGACTCACTCATTCAGTCAGTGTCAGTCTGCCACGCCGATCACATCATCATCAGCAGCAGCGACAAGTTCAGCAAGATTTACCCAAAAGACACTTTTTCCCGATGAGTTTGAACCGTTGTCTTCAGAAGACACCATTATCACCACTCTCAAGCCTAAAGACGAATCACTTTAACCTGCTGAAATCGTTTCAGATCAAACTTGATCTGCTCAACTGATTTAGGCGGCTCAACTGCGATGATCAACATCAGCTCTGATTTCTATTTCACCTTGTTGTAGTAGTTTCTGTAGCGTTTCCGCGTCCTTTCAACTTCCAAAGCTTGAAGCGTGATACCGTTTGAGGAGCAGGCAACACTTCTGTCGTCGGTAAGTGGCATCATTTGGCAGCGACAGCAGCAGCAGTAGTTGAGCAGCGTAATGAGTAGCAGCAGCAGCAGCAAAAGTCGTCGGACAGCTTTCTGGCGACGTCGGACGTCGGCCGATCGAGGTCAGTCGCCGTCTTTGCTCCTTCTCTCTCCCTTAAAGTTGTCCAGACGTGTGGTATGTCTCACTGGAGTGTCGACCGCTCAGCTGAGCGAGAAAACACACACGCTCTCTTCCAGAGATACCCGAAATGATTGAAGAAAAAGTTTTACCAATCACTAACCTTCTTTCGCTTCCACACCAGAATCCTTCTGTGATACCACCACCAGCACCTCCTTCAGTCATCTCTCCTTTTTATCCTTCCTCCTCAGCAATGCCCACTCCGGCCATACTTCACAGCCAGCCGGCGAATCCTAACTGGCGCGAAGCTGCCTCATTGATCATCCTCGCACCCGGAACCGACCACCACCCTCCTCACTCATCCTCACCATCATTCACCTCTTCATCTCCTGCCGCCTCTGCTTTTGACTACTCAATCCTCATGGTCAAGCGGTCCGGTGGCTCCTCCTTCATGGCCTCGGCCTTCGTCTTCCCCGGCGGCCAAGTGGAGCTGTCCGACTTTGACCACCGCTGGTACGGACTCTTCTCTAGGCACCTCGGCCTCTCCGAGGAGACGGTAAACAGCAGCGTCAGTGATGAGATTGTCGGACCGAGGCCGCCCATTGTACGGCAGTCGATTACACTGAGGAAGCACACCGCTGGCACTCCGGTGCTCAATCCGGACATTGCACTGCGCATTGCCGCCATACGGGAGACTTTTGAAGAAGCCGGTAAGTACTTTCGTAGTAATTTCACTGGTCAAAACTTTAACCAAATTCCACTCCAGGCATTCTTCTGCTCACTTCAAGCAGACAACCTCAAAACAGCAGCAACAGCCGACTGACGTCTGCCGTTGAGCTGTCGCCTTCAGATCTGAGTGAGTGGCAACTGCGCGTCCGCAACGACTCCTCTGCCTTCCTCGAGCTGTGCGACACTCTGCAGCTGGTGCCCAACATCTGGGCGTTGTACGAGTGGTCAGACTGGCTGACGCCGGTCAGCGTCGGCCACCGCCGCTTCGACACCATCTTCTACGTGGCCTGTCTCGCCGGGCGGCCGGTGGTGCGCGTCGACAATGCCGAAGTGACCAAGCCCATTGTGAGTCGCCTACCAGTTCCTTCCTTTCTACAACAGCCTTTAATGACAACTTCTCTTCCCCTTCTTCTTAGTGGTGCAATCCACCGTCGATCCTCGAAGAGCACCGCCTCGAGTCGGTCTTCCTCGCACCGCCGCAGGTCTACGAACTGTCGCGGATGCTGCACTTCTCCTCGATGGACCGCTTCTCCCGCTACCTGGCCGCCCGTCAGGTGCTGGGCACCGAGCGGTGGCTGCCGGTGATGCTCACCTACGACGACGGCGCCGTCAGTCTGCTGCCGGGCGACCAGCGGTACCCGCCGGTGCCCGTCCTGGTCACCAATGCGCCGGTGCCCGAGCTGGACGGCTCGGTGGAGGACGCCGAGCTGGAGACGCCCCTCAAAAACTGCATCGTCCTGAGGGGCATCCAGTGCACGGCAGTGTGCTCGGTGGAGCCGGGCTGCGGTCACCTCCAGGCGCTCTCCTTCACCCAAAACTGGACCACCGGTGAGCAGGCGCTGAAGGCGAAGTTGTAGTAGTAGAAGATTGGTTAATCGTAAACATAATCAAAATGCAGGCGCGCCTTTTCTGTTGTTAAAAGATGTGTTGTAATAAAAGCTTTAATTTCTGTTTTTATTCTTGAAAAGTGTGCGTCATTGTTTTAAAATTGCTGAGAGGCTGAGATAAAAGAAGTCGATTTATTTATACATATAAAAATGCCACTCTAAATAAAACGGTAAAACAATGTTTTGATAGTTCTAAAAATTCAATCAAATACAAAACATAAGCAAAAGTATTTAGACAAATGAGCACTACTGCTGTTTGGTAAAAAGCATTTTTTATGGTTTGATGTCAATTGTCCACTGTCAAAATTGTTGATTCAAAAATGAGTGTGATCCGTCGGCTAAACTTTCAAACGATGCTAGTGGAGTATTCAGTGTGTAGTGAGCCCCTGTGATTTTAACATTTGAGTTTGAAAGTGAACAACAGGTGTCACTTTTCTCTCCTCTCTCTCTACCCACTTATTGGTTTCGTTTTTCAAAGTCGGGTATGCAGATGATATTTTTGCGTTCGGTGCTGTAAAACAATTTCGCTATGTTTCCTTCCACCAGTTAGAGTGTGCCTGATCAGCAATAAAAAACGAGCATGGAGACAGCCTCGACAAAATCTTTCGCCGCTGACTCAGAACATTCGGATGAGCAACTGTTGCCGACGACCCCAGCCGACACTCTCACATTAAAAAAACATCGCTTTCAAAGTGCGTTCTTTTCCTTCTTTCGTCGCCTCTTTGCGATTGGGCGCAAAAAAGAGTACCAGAGAAATAGAATTGGCAGCAGCAGACCCAAAGGAAATGGCAACAAAAATCTGCTCCGTCTGGACGTCCTCGAAGCAAACTCCACCACCTTTGCTTTCACTGCTAAAAAGACATCTCCCATTGGATACAAATCGCCCGGTGGCCTCTTTCACTCGCTCTTAAGTGTACCGATTTCTGGTTCAAGCTGTCCACTTTGCAGACAGAGATTTTGCGACAAGAACATCCTAAGGTAAAAATGCGTTTCTGTGATATCTCTTTCTAAGCATTTCCTTTGCAGATGCCTTCACTGTTTGGACGTTTTTCACCAGAGCTGCATTGACCAGGCCCTGCTGAAAAAGAAGAAAAAGAAGGTGAAATGCCCCAAGTGTAGGCGAAAAGATATTTTTCCTCGCTAATTCGTGGGAGCATCATTGAAAAAGGCGTTCTAATCAATAAATGTTTTTTGTTTGTGTGTTACGCTTGCTTGTTTCGTTTTTCCTTGAAAAATCCTCCTGAAATTCAAATTGAGACGTCTTCTGCGAATTACCCGCTTAAAAAACCGCCGCCGCCGCTGCTGCTGAAAAAGGTAAACAGGCCGGGTGATTTATCAATTTTGAACTTCTTTTTTCTGGTTCTTCTTCCGATTCATCCCAACTTCAGTTGTCATCATGTTTCCGGAGATGGACTTCACAGAGCCGCTGCTCAATGAGCCTTACATCCTGTCGCCGTACAAGCTGTGCGTCGCCACCTACCTTTTGTCGTACATGGAAGTGAAGAACAGCTGTGAAACAAGCGGAAAACCGAGCCCCAACTCTCTGACGCACTGTCACCTCGGATTCAAACTCATCATGTCTCTCGACTGTTCGTACCAGGAGTTGTGCTCGCAGATGATGAGCCCGCTGGAGGTGGCTAGTACTTTGCCAAAGGTTAAACATGACGACAAGAAACAGCAAATTGACGAAGCAGTTTTGAAAAGATTTGACAGTTGGCTCGAAGACATTCAACTCGGCGGCATCAGTCGATTGCATGAGTTTGTCAAGAAGCTACACAAAATACTCAACAAACGAGCTACCCCAAGTTCTAGGCATCAAAATCAACCCGAAGAGCTGTATCGCGTAAACCGCCTTTCTATGGCCGGATTGTTTTTGCGAAAGTTTTTAATCCACTTTGAGCGATTATTATTCAGCGACGTTGACAGCCTATATGATCAGCTGTGCCAGTATTTAAAAAGTAAGTGTTGTTTTTAAAAGTAACACTTAGCTAATTTGTTGTTTACCAAACAGGTGAAAATGATTACGACTACCTGCCAATTCAGCCCGTGAATCATGCCACTTCAGTGAAGCAAGTCGCCAAAATACTGATAAACGAGCACGCTTCACTACCACCACCAGCCATTGTGGACTTTATAAACTTTTACTTTGAGCAGAACAACCGATACCACTACAACCAGTTTATTCAGCTCAACTACAAAACAAACTTGAACATGATCAAAAGAATGTCCGCTCTGGAGGGCGGACAAGGTGGCACCGGTACAGGCACTAATGGGACGAATGCAGCCACTGGCGCAAACATTCCCGGTGCCAATTTTATAACCAACGGAACCGGACAAGTGCAAATCACTGGAGCGTTGGCGAATAGAAAAGTGAAGGATCTTTTCAAGTCTATTAATTTTTACAGGTATCTGTTTAACTACTTCCATTGAAGAGTTGAAACTCATTTGCACTGTTTCTCCTTCCTAGTGACATCTACTACCTCAAGTTTATTAACGCACTGCGAGTCAACAACTTTACCGCCGCCCAGGAATGCTTCTTTACGTTCTTTGACCTGAAGAAGGCCACCCAGCTGGGAAACACCGGCCCATCGTCTTCCAGTGCAGCCAACGGTGCAGCCAATGAGAGCACCAACAAATCGGCGCTTCAAACGTCCGGATCAAACTTTTGCTGGTCGGCGCTCAACTTGGCCATCATGTACGCTCACTTTACCCACTATCGACTAGCGTACGAGGCACTGACTGACTGCATCAGCGTCGCCCGAGAGCAAAAAGACGAGCGGTGTCTGCAGTACGCAATGATCTGGCTGCTCCATGTCTTGCAAAAGCTTAACGCAGAGGCTGACGAAGATAAGAAGGATTCAAGTGGAGACCTGGGGGTGGAGGGCAGTGCTGGAGGTGCTGCAAAGACCACTCAACGCTCAGCTTCCCTTGACAAGGCGAAGGCTGTGGAGCTTTCACACCGCTATCACAAAACAGTGGACGATCTCAATTTAGTGTCGAACCTACTAAACTTGATTGCCACCAATGAGCTGACGCTGCCGTACATTGCAGCGATGGCGTTGCTGCACCTCGAGAAAGCGCTCTACTGCCGACCGATATACCCAAACCTCTCTGACCACGCTGAAGTGGGCAGTGGATTGATGGGCAAAACGGCCGCTCAAGTTCGAAGACCACCGCTGACCACTAAGCCGATTCTCCTGGCGGTGAGACACCTGATGAACGATGTTCTCATAAAGAGCTACGCAACTCACGCCGCCGTCCTCAACGCCTACGGAGCGGTGCACCTTGGGGCAGTGCAGTCGAAGATTCTCGCACGCCTTGAGCTCGTCGACATGATCGACAATGAGAACATTTCCCATGTGTGCGAGGAGCAGGCGATTGCCGTCCGCAACCTGGCCATCTACGACTGGGCCATTCGCGGTCGAAAGAGCGAGCCACTGGAGCAGCTGCTATCCTTTGGCCAGCTCATCTCACCGTACAACAGCAGCCTGCGATCAATCATCGAACAGGCGGCGGCGGAGATCAACTTTGAGGCGGCCATCTACCAGGCCGACTGGACGGCGGCACAGGTGGCCATTGACGTCATCAAACTGTCCAATCGGTCGGCGGCGCTGATGATGAGCGCGGAGATGTACCGGCGGCAGAAAGAGCCCATCGCCGCTCTGGAGGCGCTCAACCAGCTGCTGCGGGAGCCCTACTCTGAGCCGTATCTGTGGATTGCCGCCCAGGTGACGAAGGCCTCGCTGCTCGCCGACCTCTCGGCGCTGCTCGACTGTGTGGTGAAGGCGCAGGCGCACGGCTTTCGCATTCTCGAGACGCGCGCCCTGCTGGAGATTGCCCGCCTGCAGCGCTCCATGTTCGGGCAGTGTGGCGAGGCGCAGGCCATACTCAACTCGCTCTTTCTTCGCCTCTCAGCGAGCAGTCGTCTGGTCGACCTGGCCACTGCCTACTTCCTCACCGCGGAGAACCACTTTGCGGTGCACCTGCAGGGGCGGAGGGAGGCGCTGATGGAGGCGCCCATTCGCTGGAAGAGACAGCACCAGCCACCAGCCCTGTCCACCGGCTGGTCAGCCCTGGAGGCGGCCAGTTGGGCGAATGAGCGCGCCATCCTCATCTGGAAGCGCGTCGGCGAGAGGATGGCCCTCTTTGAGTCGCTCACACTGCAGGCGCTGCTGGAGGGCGAGCGAGGCTCCCGCGAGACGAGGAACTACTACGCCAGGCAGGCGAACGCAGTCAGAGTGGAGCTGCTCAAATGAAGAAGACTACTTAAGGCAAAAAGGCAGAAGTTGAATGTATTGTATTAATCCATTGCGAATCATGTGTACTTGATCTCTCTCTCTCTGATTCTCGTGGGTGAGGCAATAAATAGAAGTGACAATTTCAGTGTTCAAAATCAATTGCTAGCCAGCGAAGGTAGGCCGTCTAAAAAGGACAGTGCATATAACACTGCATAAAACAACATAGGAAACATAGAATAGCAGTGTCTGTGTGCATTAGTAATTAATAATATTTTGTAGGGCTGATTTGCTTCAGGTGAGAATATCATCTGCACTAGTTCATCAGAAAGTAGTCCTCGCCTGAAATGGTAGAAATTCGCGCATCCGGCAGCAGATCAAAGTCGTCCGCCTCGTTTCTCGCCGTCGTCGAGGTGGAGCTATCCGCCACGCTGGAGCCGTGCTGGGCGCTCATGGAGCCCACCGAGCCGGCGGTTCCCCCCGTCTGGGTTGTGCCCAGCTCCGAGGAAGCCGAGGAGGAGTCACCACCGCCGCCGCCACCGGCAGCGCCGGCATACAGCAGCTCCTCCTTCTCGTCGTACACTAGCCACGACCAAATGTTGGCCGCATGCAGGAGAATGTCCTTTAGGTTTAGGGTGAACTGCAGGGTGTTGAAGTGCTGTGGGAGGGGGAAGATGGAGAGATATTTAGTACCACTCATAAAACTGTCCGGAAAAAAGACACTGACCTTCAGAATTTCCGTAGCATCGAATCGATTGGCCATGATGAGGTCTCGCTCGCGGCGGATAATGCACAGACAGATGCAGAGCACGTACAGTTCAGAGTCGGTGAGACGCTTCACCTCAGGCACGTAGACGTTCAGGTTCACCGCAGAGACGGCCACTGAGGGGCGGCTGGAGGCAGATGAACAGCCGCCACTGCCTGATTCGGTCGGTTTGGCCTCGCCAGCAGCACCTCCTCCTTCTTCGCCTTCCTCACCCTCACTCGTCGACGTACTGCTCATTGCTGCTGCTGCTGCAGGTGCTGAATGCGTCTCCAGCTTGGTAGGATCCAGCACAACTTGTGCATTGGAGTGCTGCTCAGAGTCCTCAATTTTGCATGATCCAGCCATGGCGGCCACCAGCTCAGCAGACTCCTGTTCTCTCTCAAGCGCCGCCAGTTCTTTGAGAGATGGGTACTTTACAGAGTCTGAAGGTGCATTTGAAGTCGATGTCGATTGAGCGGTACCAATGGTTTCTTCTTCAAATAGGCAAACTTGAATTAAACTTTTTACGAGTTTTACAAAAAAAGACTTACCTGAATCGATCTTTTCTTCTGCTTCCGTTTCTTTTGCTTCTTTGGCCTTCTGATCTTCCTTCAGCTTCATCAGGTGTCGCCTCATTGAATTGCACGTCCAGATGGACTCCCAGAGCTTCAGAATGTCATCATAACCATCGCAGTTGGTCTTCATCAACTCGCGCTTAAACTGGCAGACGATCCAGCGAAAGGCAAAGTAGCAGTTGACCGAGTCGTTGTTTGCTAGCAATACACAAAAAGGCTGATTAGTGAAAATTCACAACTTTCCCCCAATTACACTTACCCAGATACTGCGCAAATATGGGATCGGTCAGCTCGATCAGCTTCCAAAGCATGTCCAACTGCAGCTTAATGGTCATCTGAGACATCTCAAAGTTGTTGTGCTACATCATAACGGGATTCAGTGAAAGGTTCTTAGCATATAAAGACATTTTTACTTACAGTGAAATCCATCACTTGGGAGAAGAACCAGAAGGCGTGCTCCACTTTGCCTTCGGCGACGTACAGCAGTGGCGAGGCCAGGTCAGACATGCCCTGGACGTAGCCAGTGTCAAAGTCGTACATCATGTAGGTGAGGAGAAGGTTCTTTAGCAAATCTAAACTCTTCGTGTCGCCTTCGTAGTAAGGATGGGTACGATCACAGCGAATCACGTCTCGTTCTAGAGATGTAGAAACAATACCTTAGAAATAAAACATCAAACATAAAAACAAAAAAGCACCTACCAATAAGTGATTTCCTCTCTCTAAAGAGGGCGAATCGGCGCTCTTGTTCGGGCAAGATGGCCTTCCACTGATTTTCGTAATGTTGATACAGATTTTCGAGTTTTGACCAATCAAAAACGTAGTCCGCTACTGGGGCATCATTGTCGAGATCCTTTGCCAGCCCCAGGAGAATGGGATAAAGTCGAGCTCGCAGCTTGTTATCCTCGGCGATGCCCTAGAACAAAAAGTATTATGTCATAAAACAATGCACAAAGCACAAAACAATGCCTTCACTTACGCCCTTAAACACCCTCACTGCAAGCTCGTCTTTGGTCCAGGTCTTGCCGACCAGCTCCGCCGCCGTCAGCGGCTCCAGTCGATTCTGCGCCACCGTGCAGTTAATCAGCGGCAAAACGGGCGGCGGCAATGGCACTCCCTCGTCGCCATCCATAGAGTTGAAGGGGTCCTGGACAATCGACGACGGCCCTGAGCCGGGAAAGACGCGCTCCGCCTGGCCAGGCGGTCGAAAGATGCTGTTGGTGTTCTGGTGAATCAGGTGGTAGGCACCGGTGGCGGCGTGGTTGATCATCTGACTGGGCGAGCGGGCGATGGCCGCCACCTTGGTCAGCGTGTTCAGGCCGGCGTTCAGGGGATCCTGCAGAAAGTCCGTCAGCGGAAAGAGGCCATTTCGCGGCGGCGGAGGCGCGTACGGGTTGAACCGCGGCTGGGGAATGGTGTTCGGGGCAATCTCCGAGATGAACTCGTGCATCTCGGCAGGTGGCGGCGGCGGTGGGCGGTTAAAGTGCACCGCCGGACT